TGCTTCTGTCATTTTGTAGTATGTATTTATGTGAAAAAGCGTTTTTTGGCATTGATGATTATAAGATAAAAAACACTGATCAAGCCTAAAAAATGCTAAAGATGCTTTACATCCTGCAGTATCAACTATTCAGCTGCAGTTTAATTTTTGTAAAAAAACAAGCATGGTCATCTCATTAATACGCACATTTGTATTAATTTAGCAATGGTAGTTACATGCACACCAAAGGTTTTTTTAAAAATACATTTCTTTGTGATTTCTTATCAGTAACTTTTGTTTCGTATATCTATTTTATCTCCCTATATACCGATTATAAAACTGCACCATGAGGAAAACATGTTTAAGAAGCCACACTCTATGTGACAGGCCACAAACCATGCGTGGTCCCTTTCCTTGTTCATCTTTTCTATGAGCGTGGATAACTGTTTTCTGTCTTATGGAAAAGGAGACCTCAAAATTTGTTCTTATAAGAACCACCCAGGTTGTGCACTAAAAACACATCTTTCTGCCCAGCGGTGGTGACACACTACTTTAATCCTAGCACTTGGGAGGCAGAGGCAGGCAGATCTCTGTGAGTTCGAGGCCAGCCTGGTCTATAGAGCGAGTTCTAGGACAGCCAGGGCTACATAGAGAAAACCGGTCTTGAAATCAAAACAAAACAAAAAAACAAAATCTTTCCAAGTCCTATTTCCACAACTTTCAATTTTAGAAGGTGGTGGTAAAGCCCAGAAACTTGTGGGTTCCCCCCAAGAATATCCTTGTTGTTGAACATTGTGTCCATATCCATATATTGCGATCCTAACTCCCAATATGGTGATGATATTAGGAGATGGGGCCTTTGGGAGGTAATTAGATCATGAGGGTAGAACCTTTGTGAATGTGATTAGTGTCCTTGTATACCAATTCCCATGGAGTTCCCTCACTGTGTGAAGACACAGAGAAAAGATGGCATCCATCTATGAATGAAGAGTGGGCCCTCTCCCTTCTCACTGTGTGAAACCCAGAGAAAAGATGGCATCCATCTGTGAATGAAGAATGTTCTCTCTCCCTTGTCACTGTGTGAAGACCCAGAGAAAAGATAGCGTCCGTCTGTGAATGAAGAGTGGGCCCTCTCCCTTCTCACTGTGTGAAGACACAGTGAAAAGATGGCGTCCATCTGTGAATGAAGAGTGGGCCCTCTCCCTTGTCACTGTGTGAAGACACAGTGAAAAGATGGCGTCCATCTGTGAATGAAGAGTGGGCCCTCTCCAGCCACCCAATTTGCTAGCACTGTATCTCACTTCATGGCTTCCAGATTCATGATCAATCCATTTCTATTTTATAAGCCCTGTCTATAGTGTCTCCTTATAGAAGCCCAGAGGGATGATGATGCACAGTACACCCCATTTCCCCACTCAGGCAATTCTGACTTACAGAAACTCTGCTCTAGGATGTGGAGAATGCTCACAATGCCTGCTTGACTCAAATGCAAAATATTCTTATAAAGATCAAAAATAGAAATGCATACTCCTCAGCCTCCTTTGGGTGGACAATTTGCATAGTTATAGCACCTTTTCATCAAGGGCAAATGAGACCCAAATGAATTTTTACTGTGACCCAGAAAGAATATCTTCTGGTGGTAGAAGAGAAGAGCCAGGATGCCATAGGGAAATTCATGTCAGCCACAAGACACCTGGCATTTGGCTTCTGTTCCATAGCCACACTGTGGAATGTCATTTTGAATCTCTAGATATGTTTTTTTTTCTATAAAATGCCTTGCTTTGTTCATGTCTCAGGGCCACCATGCTTACACGAAAGAAACAGTCTTCCAAAAGGGGCACACTTCTTGATGATAAAGATGGACAGCAGAGACTGATAGCTATTGAGAGGACTAAATAGTAAAGGCCAGCCACGTCCTGCACCAGTTGGAACCTAGCCAGGAAAGCAGAAAAGAGAGAATTCAAGTGTTTTCTACAGGGAATTTAATGCGAGAAATGAGTCCCACTGCCACGGAAGGGCCTCCAGAAGCTAAATTGGTGATGAGATATCTCAAAGGTTGGCAACAGTAGAAAGTCAACAGAATTTGCAGGCTGCTAAGAAAAAGATAGTAGTAGTGAATGTGAACCAGTGTTCCTGATGGGCAGTTGTGGAGGGAGCTGGAGCCATGGAGGGCAAGTCACGGCTGCTGGAGGTGTGCTCAGGGCAGAGTAAGTGCAGAGCAGCCCCCTGGCTTTTACTTCCTCCATCCAGTTTTGTACTGAGGCTCCAGCTGGTGCCTCCTGAGAGCATTTCACTTCTGGAGGACACTGTCTCCTCATAGACAGCATGATTGTCAAGCTGAGGCTGGTCCCATTCTCACGTCCCTGCAGGGATATACTAAGCCCACTATACTCCCTCCCTATACAGGAGCCTCTAGCATGGCTTTATCCAGAGCTGTATTGACTGGCTTCTTCAGTTCCTATGCTGTCCTGTGTACTATTATGCTTAGAGACCATTTCCCAACTGAAGAGAGAGAATGGAATTCTAATGCCACGAGTCAGTCAATACATACGGGGTAGAAATCTTAGCTATGAAGCCCAGAATATTATTAATTAGTTGGCTGCTATTTGCCCAGGTGAGGCTCAGGCAAAACTTGGCTAATTTCCCTGCAAACACTCCTTTGCCTCTGCAGACAAAGAAAAATCATGTAGACCGAAGGTTGAGATAAAACCTTGATTTAATGTCATTGCTTTTCTCAGGAATTGTGGTCATTGTGGAGACAGAGACACAAACCTCTGCAATCTAGCCCGTAGACTTTCTGTTTGTTTGATTTTTGGACTCATTATTAAGTGTTGATGAGGTATAGGACTGAGTGTGGCATCTGTGGTGGTTGATATTGTCAACAACACAGCATTTAGAATCACCTGGGGACAAGCTCTAGGCTGACCTGTGAGCGGTTGTCTACATTAGGTTAGCCTCTAGGCAGATCTATGAGGGATTATCTGCGAGGGTGGGAAGACCCACCTTGAATCTAACTGGTGCCATTCCATGGACTGATGTCCCAGACTGCATAAAAAGGAGAAGGCTAGCTGAGCCCAGTGTTCACTGTCCTCTGTTTCCTGACTGTCCCTGCAGAATGACCGACTGCCTCACATGATGCCTTCCATGCCGTGATGGACTTCACTCTGAATTGTGAGCCCAAAATAAAAGGCTTTCTCCCTCAAATTGCTTTCGACAGGATATTCTAATCACACCAGCAAGAAAAGTAACTAATACCTTTGTTAGGTTTAAGCCAAAAATCCATTAACAAAGTCTAGGAGCTGGCATGCATCCAGGAAGAGGATCAGGTGTGATTTGGACTCCTACCCTTTCTCTCCATGGAGCATCCTTTTCCTTGAACACCCCCAAGACATCATCGTCAGAGACTCAAGAGTTATTCTTGTCTATCACTTCCAAAATCAGCATGGCTAATGGGGTTCAGCTCTCTCCCTCTGGGTTTGATGTCTGAGCTTGCAGTTCAGGGCTCTTTATCTAGTAAGCGGTGAGTAACCAGGGAGCATATGAGACTTGCCTAGTTTCATAATCCAGCCTGCAATCTGAGGTCAGGATGGATGATTACCGAGTGTGTGACTCAAAGACCGCAGACTCTGGCATCTGGCATTGTGTGCTCACGAAAGGACTGTGTTCCTTGGACACCTTCTCAGACTCAAGACTCAAACTCCCTCAAGGTGCGTTCAGGAACTCTGCTTTCTGTTTTCCCATAAATATAGTCTTGTGGAAACTTATTAAAGGAAAAATGAGTGAAAACAGTGTCACTGCATTCTCTTGTGGAGGTCTGTTTAAGTTGTTCCCAGTTTTTCCCTTTCTGAGCTGTGAAGTGATGACTAATTCTATACTGCCACACTGTGAGCCTGTGATGAAGTTTCCCAGGGCTTGTATCTGTTGGCAGATTTCTCTGGGTCATGGGCATATGTATCCTCCTCATTACTAGATATTAACAAATGACTCTCCAAATTGTTCATAAGAATATGCTCTTCAGAACCATTGGAGAGTTAGAATGTCTTCTTCAACACATCCTGGCTGATGCCCATTATCATCAGATTTTATAATTTTGTCAGTTGGAAGAACACACGTAGCCTCTGTTGGATTATTTTGTGCTACTTTGACTATCAGTGAGGTTAAGTATCTTTTTATAGCTGTTTAATGATGCTCATTCTTTCTTTTTTCCTCCTGAGATACAGTCTCATCTACCCCAGGCTAGCCTTAAACTTGATATGCAGGTAGAAATGATCTTAAGCTTCTGATACTCCTGTCTCTACCTCCTGAGTGCTGGGATTGCAGATGTGTACCATCATGCCTGGCTTATGATGCTCATTGTTAAATTATCTTTAAAAATGCATTTTGAAGCAATGCTTCCACATTGTAAGAATGTATTTTTCTTTTTACATGGAGCTTATCTCAATAAAGTAATTTTCGTTTGAATGAAAAAAATAAAGGGGGAAAGTTGTTGAGTGTTTGTGCTTTATGCATTTGGCTATCCCTAAAATGGCCACTCAGCCTTGGAAGGCACAGAGTACTCTGGAAACTAGACATGCAGGTGGCAAGTCCTTAGAAAAGGCCTGCTTTCCCCCTGGACATGGCTGATCACATCTAGAGGTCAGGGTCATTCATTCAATCTAATTGTTTTTCCTATTGTGGATTCTGAAGATTGGTCGGCTTGCTTCTTCTACATAGCTGCCATCAGCCTTCCTTTCCCAGGTCTGCCCAACCTCCAGCCTTGAGCTCTCCGGGGAGTGATTGGTATCTGCCATTAGAAACACAAAAGTGGGGAAGGTACAGAGAGATGCAAAGCCAATACAAAGACAAATGAAATGGAGCCTTCCCATTCTCCCCAGGCTGCCTTCACTAAAGATTGACCACACTTCTTCTTCTTCTTTTTTTTTTTTGACAGAAAGAGTATTTTATTTAAACATGATTTTGTAAACCATCACACTGTGTACTTTTGAATTGAATTCAACAAGAACATTATTCCCCGCCCCCACTTACAGTGAGCCCTGTGAAAAGTCAAAGAGTTAATACAAGAATGAAGATAAACAAGGCAGAATTTCTCAAAGTGTCAAATTGCTACAAAGACACATAACCACCTGTACCATGAAAGTGTACATGCCATAAAACATTAATTTATAACTTCAAATATATAGTAAAACACATTTATTTAAGAAAATCAGGATTAATTTCATTATAAACCAGTGAATTATCCAGAGGAATAATTATTAAAACTCACTAAAAACCAGCAAATATTGCAACCGAGGTAAACATTTACATGTAAACAAAACTATCATTTATAAGGACCAAGGAGAGAAGAGAAGGGCAAATGGCATTTTCTCAGCGCTGCATCACTCCTTGATGTTTTGAAGTGGCTTCAGCAGATGTGACTCAATGATCTGTTGAACACTTCTGTAGCCCAAAGCTACAGCTGAATCCATAGAGTTGTGTCCAGAGTCTCTTTCAGTTGTTGGGTCAGCTCCATTTTCTAACAGCATCTTTTTTTTTTTTTTTTTTTTTTTTTTTTTTTGGTTTTTCGAGACAGGGTTTCTTTGTGTAGCTTTGTGCCTTTCCTGGGACTCACTTGGTAGCCCAGGCTGGCCTCGAACTCACAGAGATCCACCTGGCTCTGCCTCCCGAGTGCTGGGATTAAAGGCGTGCGCCACCACCGCCCGGCTCTAACAGCATCTTTACACACTTCCCATGATTCCCATGGACGGCATAAAGCAAAGGTGTCCCTCCGTTCCAGTCATACTCATTTACACCAACTCCACAGTCAAGCAGCATTTTGACAATATCCGTGTAGCCTTTACTACAGGCCAATGACAGGGCACTTTCTCGACCTTTTCCTAAAAGCTGGGGATCTGCACCATTCTGAAGTAGGAACTGTACCACAGCTATTTGTCTGTGTGCCGCAGCCCACATGCGGGGAGTAAATCCTTCTTCATCCCTGTGATTGATAACATTTTCTTTTTCAATACGAGTAGCCAAGTAGAGCATTTCTCCCTGAGCTGCCAACTGGTGAACAGACAAGGAATTTGCTAACAGAGGTGTGGTAGAGACTTCATTTTCCCTGTGCTTGTTGGTGAGGGTATTTGACTGTTTTATGGGTGGGAAATGTTTTGTTTTAGAGGGGGTGTAGACATGCCTTACTTGAATTCCAGGAGAAGGAGATGTATGGATATTGCACTCAGCTTTAAATAAGACAGACGCCACCTCCAGGTCAGAGTTAACTTGATCTTGAATATTTTTACTATCCTCTTCATGTAAGGACTTCACAAATCGAGAACATGGACCACACTTCTTAAGCGAATCACCCCCCCCCCCCCCGATCTTTTCTCTCAACTTTCTGATATCGTCCTCATGTGCTTATCTTCCCTATACAATACAACTTGTCTTTTTTCTCCAACCAGCTCAGAGTCTCTACACATTAAAGGAAATAGCAGGTCAAGTTTCTTCTCTCTCTCTCTCTTCCTATTTTTCTCTTTCCTGTTTGTTCTTTCTATTCTTCACTTCCCCTCCCCCACTGGGGATAGAAGGCAGGGCTCCTGTATGGTAATGTATTTTGAGGGTATACCTCTCAGTCCCAGGTCGGCAGTTGATAGAAGTTTTTTTTTTTTTTTTAAATCTGGTGGTCTTAGGGGCAGTGCAGTTTTCAAATGCAATTCTCCTTTCTACTGCTTCTTTTCCATTCTCATCCACCAGTATTCCATGGTTGGCTTTCCCTTGAGTCTTGAATAGTGGTGGAAAAGCCAGTGGTGGAGACAGAAGAGCCTAGAACAGTGATAGGACAAGCTGCAGAGACCAAGGGCTTCTGGGAAGGGGAGTGGGTTTCTGCTTCACAGGACAGGCAGTGGACAAGAAGATAGAGTTCAGTGCTAAGAGCTAGTCTGTGGCTAATCATTTACTCTACAGAAACCCACTCACACTACTGGGTCTTTAAAAATATTTTTGATTAGCATACATTAATTATACATGATGGGTTTCGTTATGACATTTTCATACATGTATATAATGTATTTTGCATAAATCCATCCTCCATTACCCTCTCTTGTATCCCATACACTTCTCTTGATCCCCAAATGCCCTTATACATTCACATCAATGTCATTTGTGTGTGTGTGACTCATTAGAGTTGTTTACAGGTGTACAGATGAGGAATTATATATGGACATTTTTACCAGTGGTTACACCACTGAAGAAAAGATATCTCCCTTCCCAAGCAACCATATCCTGCCTATAGATCTTGGGGAAGGGTTGTGAGTCCCTCCTCTTAGCTACCATTAACTGTCTGTAAATCTTCAGACTTTGTGAGCCCTTTCCCACTCCATGACAGAATGTGAGAGGCCCAGTCTTGGGCAATTGATCACAGGCACTGAGTTCAAGAGTCTAATGGCCATGTCATGATCAGAAGACAGCACTCCTCAACACCCTCCCCCTCCCTGGGACTTTTATATCCTTTCCACTCCTCCCACAGTATTCTCCAGGCTTTGGAAAGAGTCAGATAGATGCCTCACTATGGCTGAGTATTCAGCAGTAGCTTATTCTTCTTCTTACCATTTTGACCAGTATGAGTCTCTGTAGCAACCACTCCTGCTGCCAACAGGAGCCTCTGATCAGAGCTGGCAGCAGCGCTGACCTGTGGGCATGGACACAGTTACTTAGAAGGCAGTCTGGTGAGCACATCACGCTCATGGAGCAAAATGACAAGAGTAGCTTCCCCAATGGGGTCTATAACCTCTCCAGCCACGGGGTTTTCACTGGGTTCTCAGTAACCAGACTTAGATTTGCCTCCTGTGGGGCAGGCTTCAAATCCAACCAGATAGTATTCATAGACTTGCAACTATTGCAGCAGGAGGCACACAGGGATCATAGATAAGTACAATTGTTGATAACTTTTTCTTCTCCAGCAGCCTGCATATCACCTTCTTTCACTATGAGGACTAGCCAGAGGGTAACAAGCTCAGTGGCAGCTTGATATTTCTAGATCCTGCAACAGAACAGCCAGCGGTGGGGTGGGGTGGAGTGGGTGGGTGGGGGGTGGTGGTGGGGGTGGGGGTGTTTTCAGCAACCATCTTATTCCGTGGTTCTGGTGAGCAACCAAGAACACTGGCCACAGCCAGTGTTGTTCTGGGGAGCTCTGAACAGCAGGCTGCTGTGATGAACACCACGATCAAAAGCAGTTTAGGGAGGAGGGTTTATTTCAGCTTCTAGGTTATACTCTGTCATCGAGGGAAGACAGAACAGGAAGTCGTGGCATGAGCCTGGAGGCAGGAACTGAAGCAGAGGCCATGAAGGGACACTGCTCCCAGACTCATGTTCAGGTAGCTTTCCGTACACAGCCCAGGCTCACCTGCCTAGGGGTGACACCACCCACGGTGAGCTGGGCCCTCCGACATCAATTAGTGGTCAAGAAAGTGCCCCACAGACACGTCCACAGGCCTGTCTGATGGAAACAATTCTTCAACCCAGAGTCCCTCTTTTCAGGTGTGTCAAGGTGACAATGAGGATGAGTCATCACAGGGAGGTAGCCCACTCCTGGCTCTAGATTTTCATGAAATAACCTATGACTTCTGGGAGCACCTTTATTCACTTACATAGAGTACCTCCATTCCAATACGTTCTTTAAAAAATGTCATTTGCAATATTTCTTGTGCTTGCGCGTGCGTGCGTGCGTGCGTGCGTGTACTTGTGGAGCCAAATGGAAGTGTTGGATTCCATGGAACTGCAGTTACAAGCAGCTGTGAGATGCCTGGTGTGAGTGCTGGAAAGCGAACTCAGGCCCTCTAAAGAGCAGCAAGTGCTCTTCGCTACTGAGCCCCTCTCTAGATTGTTTAAAATCCGCTGATCAAGCATCAGGTTTCCTTATGGCTTTCCCTTACACTCTTAGTTTTAGCGAACCCTCTCCTCTTATTCCCTCCTCTGCTCCATCTCGTCGCTTCTTCTCACCCCTTCAACCTTTTCGCCAGTGCTGGGGCATAAGATCATAAGGAATTATTTCACTGAGCTAAGGTCCTTTGTGGTTGATGGTCTAAGTCAGTCGCAACCAATATTTATTGAGGTCCTCTTAAGTGCCGGATTCTGTGCTGGGTCCTGTGGGTGGGGGTAAGAACAACACAGAGAAAGGTCTGTTCTTTCCTACTGTCACGTATCAGGGTTTTAAAGGAATAAGATAAACAAGTAAACTTTGTTCCCTGTACACAGACATGCACGGAACAGGCTATGCCGGCGTTGGAAAAACAGTCGTATAAGGAGAACAAGATTGTCCACAGGCAGTGACTGCCCAGACGAAGCACCAGACGAAGTTTAGCGATGGAAAGTTCCAGACTAAAGATTTTGCATCTACTTGAAGTTTTATCCAGAGATGAGAAACGAGGTTAAACATTGGCTATGTAAACTATCCCCTTTTTATTTGACCTGTTTCTCTTTTCCTGTCCTCATCCAAACTTGTATCTAAGTGGATTCCATCTCTGCCTCCTTTGTTAGCATTATTTAGAGCATGGCCTGGTAAACATTTGCTGGAAAGGGCCGAGGGAAATATTCTCGACTTCCCAGACTGGACAGTGTCTGTTCTGAACTCAGCTACTGTGGAGTAAAACACCCACAGAGAACGTGCCATCCCACACTGCTTTTGAGTCTGCATAACTTCAGGTGTGGATGCTGGAATTTGAATTGTAGATGATTTTTCACATTTACTAATATTAATTCTTTCAATTTTTTTGGTCACTTAAAATGTAAAATATATTCTTAGCTCAACAGCTGTAGAAAATAGACAGCAGTCTATATTTGGACAAAGGGCTATAGTTTGTGGATCTCTGATTTCAAATTATAGTCCTTATTGCAGTGAACCCCTTTGAGCACGCCAGGAAGGTTGAACACTCATTCATCCACTCATCCTACAGACATTTTTAGGTTTCCTGAGCTCCGCGGCTTCTGGCAGTCACCATAGCTGCAGCTGCGACTGTCACAAAGCCTTGTCCTCAGAGAGTTCCAACTTTATATGTTAAATTTCCAAGCAACAGGAGTCCTTTATTCTTAGTGCGCTAACAGGCACTACAGAAAAGTGGGGCGGGGAGCAGGTGCTGCCCATCCAGCCTGGGAAGTTAGTGAAGGTCTGCTTGAGGCGGACACAAGGAATCATGGGTGCCTAGAACACGAGAGGGTGGCCTCGGGACAAATGGGGTAGAGAGGACAGCAAGGGGGAAGATCCTGGGCAGAAAAGGAGCCATGTGGCCAAGGGCCCTGTGACCCAGGTCCAGGCTGAAGGAGAGGGCGCCATAGGGTCTCCTGTGTCCTGATCAGGCTCTGTTTTCTTTACTGAAAGCAAGAGAACAAACAGGAAGAAAGCAAACCAGGTTTTGAGGACAGGAGCTTCCCTGGCTCTCTTTTGTGGCTCACTGAGATGGGCCTTGCTGCAAAGTGCCTGCCCCCCACCTTCAGGAGCCACCTGCCAAAGGACTGACAACCTGATGGGCACTACCCAAGGGCAGGGCTTGTGTACAAATCTCTCAGAGGGTGCATTGTCTCTTCCACATCCTGGTCATTGTCCCCCAGCCCCCCCTCCCCCCAACACACGAGGAACCAGTACTTGCAGACCCACATCCCTTGCCTCCTTCCCAGTGCCATTCAGCACTGTGCAAACCTTCTGGGCCTCACCCTGCCCTCAAGGGCTGTGATCCCCACATCCTCCTGGTCTTGCAGAGAGAACCTGGCCTGAGTCAGGTTCTCTAACCCAGTGGCCACCTGTGCTCCTGGGGAGCTCCGGGGAGGCTGGGAAACTTTCAGAGAGCAGTTAATCACTAACTAGCTGAAGATAAGAAAAAGAGAATGAAACAATTGAGAAAATGCCCAACCCAGAGCTTAGTGAGTCCCTGCCTACACACGCCAGGACCTGGCATGCCAGGAAAAGCCCCACGATCAAACTGAGGTTGTTCACTGGGGAGAAGGCATGCCAGTTCCTGGGGGCTGCAGAACCCTGGTTGTCAGGCTGACGGCAGCCAATGACCTTCTTCTGCTAGGACCCCTTGCCTTCAACTAAGACTCAACCCCAAGAAACAAACAGGGACAGTTATTTATGCTGCTCTGTTCAGGGCTTGTGGAAAGCCTGGATAGATCAGACA